ATTTCTCAAATTTCTTCCCATAATACTCGACTTTATTTCAGCGCCAGGCGATATAGCGACGCGTGACATACTGCAACCAGATTGCGACTCTCGCGGCAGCAGTTACAATGTGTTTTCGCTCTTTTCCAAAAGTAAACACAGCCTTCAACGCGCGAAGAGTACGCGCTAACATCATCATCGTTTTGCCCGCGATCGCTCACCGAGCATAAAAACACCCAAGTATGTTTACAGAAACGCTCAGGCTCAATTTTGAAACCTCTCAATGTGCTACCGTAAAAAATAACGCTACCAACCGAGCAGATATACCGCTGGAAAGATTTACGAACGTTTAAACGTTTCCATGCAAAAATAGATGGAGTCGCGACGGACAGGAAACGTTATCGTTGTTCCGTTCCTTTTAAATGGAATATTTAATTTTCCAATCGCGAAAGAAAGTACAAATCCACAGAGTGACCGTAAATATTACCGGCGATAGGGTAAATTTGTAAATCTCGAATGTATTTGTGTTTAAATTACACGCTTGTTTCGGGACTAATCTTTTCCTCGAATTAACAATACGTTTTAAGGAATATCCTGTGTACAGCTTGTTCTCGAGAGGAAACGAAGACTACAAAAGAAACAGGAAGTTTGATCCTCGAAAGATGCTTATAAAAAGAAAGACGAGATAATGGAACGAACAATAGACCGAGCGACCAACAAAGGGTCGAAGGTTCTTTGTACGAGCAAGGATTCGGAAATTCCTCGACGCAACAGCAACTTCATTAGCCATTCGTCGCGCGAATCGGTGTAATTAATTAGACTGGCTCGAATGGATGGTCCTCGAAATATCATTCTCCCGTCTAAAATTTCGAACAACCTGGCGCGCGAGAAGGCGAAACTAATTTCCATTTTTCGAGCCGCAAAGTTCGTTTCCCGTATAAATTTCCGCAATTATTCGCCCGCACGAAATTATAACGCCGTTACGATTCGCGTTTCATTATTCGACTCGTTCCACCAGATATGTATCTTTTTTCTCGACGATAAATTCATTTAAGCAAAGCAGGCGGGAGGACACTTTTTCTTTTTCAAAGTCAATATCCCTCTAAGAAGTATATTTTGTTTACTTTATCGCGTCTCCTATCGGAGGACGTATAATTCGCCAGAATAAAAAGTCCATTCCTTTATCAAAATATCTTCCACTATGTCCTACGGGTACCTAGCGTGAGGATTGCGTTTCGTGTTTCATTATACGGTCCCTTTTCCACTGTGTTCGCTACAGAACCGCATCTAGAATAGTCTATCTTAGCTGCCTTATCGTTATTTACCCCGGAATACCATTTACACCCTTCTGTTCGTGCCCGTTTAATAGCAGTATTTACCAACTGCTTAGCATCCACGTGGACTCACTGTTACACAGCTCGTTTCGAAAGGCACGCCAAGACACTCTCAACGAAAGAAATTCGTAATAAAAATTCTTACGAGACCAGATAAAGAGTCAATTTAAAAACAAATTTCATCCCGCTATCTCCTGGCTACTTTAATTAATATTAACCCCTCGCGAGCTAAACGGTGCCCATGAACGCTCGCGATTTCAACAGTTCGTGCTTCCTGGGGAATGAAAAACGACAAAAAGTTTTCCCAGCAAAATACCTGCGACCTTTTTAACCCGTCCAAAGAAGCGCCGACTAATCCCTTATTTCGTCGCGGTTTCTTCGGATTCTTTTTCCCCGTTATCGTCGCGCGAACTCGACGGTATAAATTACGCGCTCGCAGGCCTATTTGCGCTCTTTTCACCGCTTGAACCGCGAAGAAAGACACACAGAGTCCCGCTACCGGTTGCATATATACGTAAAACCCAAGCCTTATCTATTCGCGGCTCCCGTTAATAAATTCCGCCACCTTTTTTCCCCGCGACACTTAAAGTGCATTAACCCGAAATTCAGTCAAGATAAATCGCCACCACTCAACGGGTTCTTAATTGGATTCCGAAACAGGAAACGTCCGTTATTTAAACGAAGCAAAATACACGTCGAAACGTTAATTTGATTAAAATCTATCGTGTTCGAAAATGACTAAAAATATCGAAACGTTCACGTAGTTTCAATTTATACGATAACGATGCGTTGCAGTTACATTTTACCTGTTTATATTCCTAAATATGTTTCCACCAACGGCGTAATCGAGAATTAATTGGACAATAATTACTCGAATCGTTAGACCAATTCGAACACGAGAATAAATTATTCAACCTCGTTACAATGCGAATCGATACGATAAAACTAATTTCTTTTAACGGATCAATGGTTATTCAATTATGTTGGTGAATTGTCAAACGATCTTCCAGTTAAATATTCGAAATATTATATAAGAAATTAATCATAAATCTGAGCAAGAAATATTTTGATATCTGTTTCAAACTTTTGAATAATTTCTCCGTGTAATCGTCCATTTTGCCGTAACGTATCAATTCGCGGAACGATTTTATCTCGCCTGGTGCCTTCCGGGGAACAGATTACCGTAGGAGACATCGCGTTTCATTTCCACTAATTGTCTCTTATTGTCCCGTACGAAATTAAACGGAAAAGCTCGCGAGTGGAACAAGGAAGTGTCAAAGGGTACGGTTCAATTATCCGACCCTGAACACAGTTCGCGAAATAGGCGTATCGTGCAACGGACAAACAAAGAAACGATATGCATCATGAAATTTTCATTTTCCTCCAGTTGTTACGCGCCGTCGTGTAGGCGTATTTAAACGTCGAGTACAACAAACAGCGATTCAACTTCAATCGATCATTATACAGTAGCGTGCTCGTGTGACAACGAGATCGAAACTTGCACGTGTAACGTGATTCATTAGAATTCACGATTATTTTACCATTTTTCCCCGCGTAATTGGAACGGGTATTAGATTGGAATTTGATGAGAGATAGAAAAAAAGAAAGTATATTTTTCTACAACTTTACTTTCTTTTTATACGTGCAACGATGCACTCTCCAAATATGCAAATGCATGTTTTTTCAATAAGATTAAACGTCCAATGCTTTTCTTTAATTTGAAAATTAACCATTAGCATTGGCACGTCGAAATACGTTTCAACGTTGCTTTGTAGACTTAGCTACTCGCTCGATGTAGCTTTATGTCACTCATTCTCGACGTTCTACCTTATTCACTAAACCCTTCAAGTGATACGTTGAAGATGGAACAATTCTGGGAAGAAATTTTCTACCGACTCTTAGTCAAAGATAACTGGCAGTTCCTATTATCAATCTTATGGAATTTGCATAGTATAAAGCGTTAAAAGTCAGATGACGTTCCAGCGTTTTTGTTTACCAATTATTTTGAACGAATGGAAGCTTCGTTTAGAGTGCAAACAGAAGTCAGTTATACCGGATCTTCAAAACAAACAAAATATTTCGATGTTATTTCTTTCTGTAGAGTTTAAAAGCCAATACTGCTCGATTGCTTGAATGAAGCATTTGCGAATATACTAAAAGGTAACTTCTTTTTTTGTTTCGAGGTCTTAAATTTGTATTTTATGAAAACACTCTGCAGTATATAAAATAAATTCCATAGAAATCGTATCATGTTGCATCGAGAACTCGAAAGATAAATGAAAAGAGTAAAATCAATTTTTGTTTGTTTTCATACTAGACTCGACGATTTAAAAGAACACACTGTTTTTGGTATTTTTGACTTTGATTTCTAAAATACCACGATGAAATTTGGAATAATAATGGAGATATAACGAATATTCAGCAGTAAATCGCTGTTAAAAAATGGCAGGTGTAACGTTATTTAGGAAGTTCCAATAACGAAAACAATTTTATTGTCGCGTAAATCATGATTAATCCTACCATTTGCATATTGACAATTCAGTTCTACATCATGTATTACAGGAGCAATAAATATTAATATGGGACAAATCTTTGTAAAGTACTGCCAGGATCAAGACCTCTGCTGTATCGCTGCAATCCATCTCACAGCGCGAAACTCAACACGCAAAGCAGGATTATTAAAAAAAAAAAGAGAGAGAATCGCTAACAAAGAAGTTATTACATGACTTTGGAGGGAACGAGTCACGATAAGCTAGAAAATTTTATCAGTGGTCATAAAATGACCGATACTAAAGCTTTCAACACTCTTTTCTCGACGTCTGTATTTTTTCAAAATGGCGCGAGGCTATTTAACTTGGGACTTTAATTACACATGCATGCTAATGTTCTTTATAATTACAGACTTTCCTTATTTCTGTAACATTTTTACAGCAAATCAATATTTTTAAATATCTGTACCTGCATAACCTAAAAATTGATCTACTTAACAGCTTTGTTTTACACGAAGCAAATGTGAAAGACTGTGTTACTATAAGGTATATGTATATAATGTGTAGGTTATAGAAAAACGAAAAACAATTTTTTTAACATTCTAATTACAAAATTAAGTTCGTCGACATAAAACACAACCCGTAACACGAAGCATCGAATCAGGTCCAATGCAATGGAAAAAATATTTCCGATAACGGTTACGAAAACTTTCCTCGTCGATAACAACTATTAGGAGCAACCAAAGGAAAGTTCCGGTCGTAAATAAAAATTATTGCGTAACTATTTTGATTTTGTTTCGTAGTAAGAAAAATTTGAGTAAAATTACAAGATTCTAAACGTAATTCGTAACGGTTAAGGTCCCCGTGAAAAACAAACGGTCGACTGTCGCGAAAAGTTTCAAGGGTATTAGTCTGTCAGCGAACGTGTTTAGCGAGGAACTATCTAACGCGGCTCGAGTACGATACGGAGCCGGCGACCGCAGAAATCGTAGGATCGAGGGTCGAACCGCGAGTAGGTGGCGCGCGTAGGGGTGGGAACGGTGAAAAGAAATAGTCAGACGGGGAGGGGGGATGGGGTACGGAACACATTACGCCGAACGGAATACCTGTCGTGCCACGGCGCGTCCAGCGCGGTTTATTTTTCCGGGGACAAAGTCTCGCGTGCCAATGGCACCGTCGGCGTACGTTGAACTCTTACCTCAGCGTCCCTCTGCATCGAGTCGAGAGTGCCAGAGTCACGTTCATCCGTCCGTGAAACGGCGTTCCTCCGGTCGCATGTCCTCTCCTCCGTGGCCGTTGAAACGATCGAATCCGTCAAGCGCGAACTATCCGCCCGGTGTCCGTCCGTTGGTCGGTCGGTTCTCGGTTTCGCGGCAAGATTTAACCTCCCGAGAGCGCGTACGCGCACGAAACACACTACAACACTGGCCGTCGTTTTACCACTGGTCCCCGTAACTCCATCCGAGCCGCCGCACCTCCCTCGTCCGCGGTTCCGGCGACGACGACGACGAGCCTCGCTCGGGCGTGAATTCGCGCGAATAGAAAACACGATCGAAAAGACGAGCAAGCGAGGGAGAGCGAGATAAGGGCTGGCACGCGTGCAACCGCGCCGTCAGCCGGCCAACAGGACACACCACGACAGACTGAAAACGAGGGTAGAAAACGTGGTTACCTTCGCGACGCCCTCGTGCCTCGTCGGCCGGCTTCGGGCCGTCTCGTTCGCCGCTCAGGGCCGTCGCACTCGCCGTCGGCGCCATTCGGGTCACGTGGCCGTGTATGGGGTGAACGACGCGACCGTCGCGTCGCGTCGCCTCGTTTGCACCAACCGTATGTTTCTACCTGTATCAACGCCGGATGCGTCGAATGTTTGGACTATGGATTACGCTGACAATTAACTCGTATCCATGACGCGCGTGTCGGACGGCAGATACGTGCGACACGTAAGGTAAATGTGCCAGTAATCGGAACCCTCGAGAGACAGTATTCCATGTCAACAAAAGTTTGTTGGAGTCCTGTCGTTCTTAGATGGCAAGTCATACTTTGTATTGCTGTCCTCTACGTACCGATGTCTTTCAACCTTAATTTAAAAACAATAATACCGTGCAAATTCGATTCGATGCAAATATAATTACATACATGGCAAGCAACAGGATATTCTGCAAAGCATTCTAGAACGAATTTGCCAAAGGGTAATCTCAAAATACGTTCAACAGAAATTGATCATTGTACCTTTGACCAATTAGTTATCAGTGTCCCGTGATTATATCGGTGCGATGCACGAGCATGAATGACCCGCAGCGATTCTTTTGTGCGAAAACAAATAACCACGTTTCGAGCAACGCGTTCCAAATTCATTTAGTCAGAAAATTCTTCTACGGTTCGTTCCGGCTGTTCCATCGCGTTATAGTTTCTATTCAACTCTTCGCGAGTAAACTTTATTTTTGCAAATGGCGTGTTGGTGCTAGAAAAATTAAACTCGTTATTTGAAGTTCCTACGGATAGTTCTCGATATGTTTGTCGAACAAAATATTGTTCCTAGCAACTCTATATTAGCAAAAAATATGTGACACGGATCTTTAGCAAATATTCACTATTCTAATTGGTGTTTCTACTCTAATCCATAGAGGAACGTTAGTTCGAGATGCATTCACTGTAGAACTCTCTTTTTAGAACAGAACCGATTCGACTAATGTTCAGGTATGTTTGCGCGATCCGAGAAAACACGGGATCTCCGGCGAGTGACGAAACCAAGTGGAGTAGGGAACAGAATGGAAACCGTAAATATATTTACGTAGACGCATGCAGAAAAACATTTCCGTGCATTACAACATAAATAATGCTGTACAACGTGACAGAGTTATCTCGATATCAGAAGATTTCCCGGTGGACCGCGAGGGAACCTTTAGGACGACGATACCCGAAGAAAACGAGGTTTAGAGAGACTTCCGAAGACGCTTTATCTGAGAAATCGAGGCAAGTTTGCCTTCTGCGAATTTCAAACAGCAAATGGAAAATAAGTTATCTTTAAGCGTGAAGTTTGAACTATTTTAAACCGAACGAACGAGCTTCCTCGCGATGAGCTGAAGGTTTACGAGAGGACCAATACCGTGTAAAATTATTTATAATTCGTTAGCCGTAAAAAGTAACGGCCGATTGATGTCTTGGCTCCTGGGACCACTGCACTATTTCGATACGAAATGGTTGAACAACTCGGAAGAATAGTAAAAAGAATATAGGTCGACAGAAACTAATAAATTGTCCCGGTGAACGTGTAATTTTGAAAAAAACATCGAACTGATCCGCGACATCAAGATAAATTGCGCGGACAGCTTATGTACAAGTTTGTTTAGAAAATCTTTCCAACGATGTTTACGCGTTTTACAGTTACTTTTAGCTCTTCAATTTTTCATTTAATCAAACGATTTATACAGAACGACAATATTTATTTTAAAATTCAGTATTATCCTTGAAAGATAATGGTTCTTTAATTTTAATTAATTAACATTGAGGTTCTCCATTTCCAACCTAGTCGTGCTGCTCTCGATGGGAATTGACGCATCGTGAGTCCAGAGCGACCGAAGGGACCTTAATTTATGGGCCAATTTCCTTGAAACAGGGATTCTTGTGCAATGTCAGTAGAACCTCCATGCAAGACGAATGCATTAGGATCGTAATCATTACGCAAATTAAAAAGACACGCTGATCTTTGTCGTTGATGAGTCTCCGACCCATCGAATAATAAAAAATTAAAAAATTACTACCTAAGAGGACCAGAATAGCTTTCTATCGCAGTCTATTACTAATGAGAATTTTTTGCTCGGGTTAACCAAAACAATTTTTCACCCGGTCGTATTTAAAACTTTTACTGGTAGTACGCTGGGATAAAAGATAAAATTAAAACATGGCACTCTGGGGAGCCATAGTTCGGTAAACTACGGATTAATCGTTTACGGTAACTGCGACTTCCTCGTAAAAGGAACTTGCGTTCATGCCTGCAAGATGTCGTCGCTAATAATCCAAGAGAAAGCATCATCTCGAGGAAGCTTTTATCTTTCAAACGGCATCGAGTTTCATCGAAACAGCGCTCCTGTTAGGACGCGATAATTCTTCTAAAAAGCATTGAAACCCGATGAAACCAACCGCAAACAAATTATATTCCTCGCGATCTTTTGTTACCCCTTTGAGCTCTTCTATAGCCACCACTGTTCCTTCTGGATCTTATCTGCGTCGCGACAGGGTCCCCCGAGTGATCAAAAGCTTGCAATTATCCCCATTCGAACTTTGATTCGGAAACCCAGTGACGTGTAAAAGTTCTTTTCGAACGCAAGCACGAAATTGCAACGTGTGATTAAAAATAAACAAGTTATCTATGCGACGTGTCTTTAATAAACTATCGTCTATTTTTCACTTCGCTGTAAATTTGATCGTTGCGAACACATTTCGAAAAATGGCGTCGCGAGTCGTTTCATGAAGTCTGCGGCAGGTTTCATCGATATTGCGAAATACGATCCTACGGTGTATCGTTCCCGGAATTTCACTGAAACTTCGTAGTGACCACGTTTGCAAATCACAAGCGTAATTGTAGTATAATATAGTAAATTAAATAATTACAACATCGGCGAAAGTATTGTGTGGTTACTTGGTTGGCTATGGCGCCAAACCGATGTCGAACGAATATTGATTATACGAATTATAGTATTAATTGAGCAACGCTTTAGCGTATAAAGAACAATAAAAATTGGCAAAAGAAATGTATCGTCGCTAAAAAAACGATGATAGATTAGAAAAAATCCACAAATGGAAAGAAATGATAGACTAGAATTTATATCTGCGGAGGGCTTCATCAATATTGCGAAATACGATTCTCCGGGCGTATCGCTCGCGGAACTTCGTCGAAACTTCGAAGCGACCTCGTTTACGGGCCATGAGCGTAGACGTAGTATAATATAATGAATTAAATAATCTCGTAGAACACAGCCCCACTCAATGGATTGCCCTCTTGAATTTCTTGGTGGATTATCTCGTTGAACCGATACGATCGGACAGTATCTTCAACTTGCAGGCAGTGTACAAAGTTCTATACAGGGTGTTTCAAGATAAATTCCCTTCGATACTGTTGCTAAAATCTTCCACTAAATGAAAGATACGAATCTATGTAAGAAGACGAGTTCAGATTTTGAGATTTTAACATAATTGCTGATTGCAATTGATGGACGAAGATCATCAGACCATAACACCATTAGACTACTCCTCTGTGGGAATATGTAAATAGCATCGTTTGTAAAACTGTAATCAGGGCTCATGGAAACACGAAGAGATAAATCATCGTGCAACGGTAACAAAAGAAACATTTCCTAGCAGATTACAGTACTTACAAGCCTGAGAAACGAATTTCGTGTGTATTACGTAAATACGGTACGGAATAATAAAGACATCAATTGCCGTCTCTTGCAGGAACTCCTGTTTCCCTGCGACTTTACATCCTGATAAGATTGCTTCGTAACACGTGGTTGAACTTTAATATTCCAAATATGTGGTCTTGAGCACCCTAATAAACTAACGTTAAGACGCTGAAAAAAACATTTCGAACAGGGGGAACGAGCGAGAATAGAGAAAGAGTGCAGTATGTAATTCATGTGAAACTGGGTAATATGGTGTAAAAAGTCTTAAGCACCCTCCATAAAGAAATTCTGAACTCTGAACTCCGAACGTACCAAACAAAGAAATCCTTTTAACCTATCGGATTCTATTCTACAAGAGAGGTTGCGTATCGTTCGATTTTAAAATGCTAGAGAAGCCACTGTCGAATTAAATCGTATTGCAAGAAAAAAAAGTAAAATTGGGTACAGTGTGAATGGATTTTTTCAATGTGCCGGACCTGGAACGTTCCCTTATATCCGCGATCCATCGATATCGCGAAATACGATTCTCCGGCGTGTCGTTCAATTCGCTGAAACTTCGAAGCGACCTCGTTTGCGGGCTGCGTGTATGTGTGTGTGTGTGTGTGAGAGAGAGCGCGAGTATCAGCTTTGTGACAACGGGTGGGCGCGCGAGTGCCTGGAAATTCGTCTTTGCGACGGAAAAGTTTTTCAGGACGGAGCATCGTCGCGACCCGGATGTCAGGTTTCGTACGGCGAGGGAAGAGCGTCGGTCGCTCGAATGTCAGAGACCTGGGGAAGTTGTGTCGCAGTGTCGTGCCGCTTGCAACGACCTGGCTGCACAGTTCCACGTTCACCCCCGTTGTCGATTGTTCATGGTACGCGATATATTCGTTGCCATGACGACCGTGTGCTCAAAGTGTACACGCCGATGACGCATATTATAACGCTGGTTACGCTTTGAAAGATAAGAGCGT